GTGTGTGTGTGTGTGTGTTTGTGGCCAGCTCAGCCACCAGGGGGCAGGGCTGGCTGGCATGTGGTGCTGGGGGATTGAACCGCGGTCCCTGTGCTTTTAGTTTGTTCTAAGTAGGTGCTTTAGACCACTGAGCCATCTCACCAGCCCTCCACTGACAATTTAACCACTGCTAAGAGATATATAAAGGAGAAACGTACACATTTTGCTGTGTAGAACAGAAAATTGTTATCTTTTACAAGGATTTAACAACTCATCTTTTAAGTCTGCCAAAAATATAACAAAATAGAGGAAACAAGCAGAACAAATCTTGTTTTCAATAATCCACATGGACAGTTTGTGTATGAAGGCAATTACTAGGATTTAATGACTAGAAAAAAATTAAAAATCTAAATGTTCTTGAAACAAAAAGTGAAGTTGCAAAGAATCATATACCCATACTGTATAACCTCATATTAACAGTTAAAACAAGTAACAAAATAATGTGTAATGACAACCAATGCCTATGAAAAGCCTCATGAATTACTTCAAAAATAAATGTTGGGGCCGGGGAGGTGGCTCAGTAGAATGAGCGCTTGCCTGGCAAGCACAGAGTCTGAGTTCAACCCCCAGTTCCGCCAAAAAAAGAGAAAAAAAGAAAATGTGACAAGGCTTCCTGGGCAATGACACTAATCTACATATACATGTGACTATTAATGTGCAATGTACCAGTGAATGACAATAAAAGGCATTTATTCTATGGTGATACATAAAACTATTGGTAGCTAGGTAAGGTGTTAGGTGCGTATAATCCCAGTACATGACAGGCTGAAAGACTGCCAAGAGTTCAAGGCTAGCCTAGGCTATACATCAAAATCATGTTTTAAAAATAAAAAACATTCCAGGTTGACTTTGAAGATTGAACAAATGAGAAAATGAGATCCAAAAAAGCAACCGTTTAGTATTGTTAATGTACAATAGCACAAGCACAAGGAGAAAAACAGCAAAAAAGTAAAAGATCTTTACTCTTGGGGCCGGGGAGATGGCTCAGTGGAATAAGTGCTTCCCTGGCAAGTGCAAAGGCCTGAATTCAATCCCTAGTTCTGAAAAAAAAAAAAAAAAAAAAAAAAAAAAATCTTTACTCTTAATGGTTCTACAATACTGACCTAAATGGTTTCGTGCAGTTTTGCCATTTTCTTATTAACTTGGTCCTTTATAAAAGCTTAGTAAGGGGCTGGGGAGATGGCTCAGTGGAATAAGCACTTTCCTGGCAAGCGCAAGGGCCTGAGTTCAATCCCCGGTTCTGCCCCCCCAACCCCCTCCAAAAAAAGAAAGAAAAAGCTTAGTAAATGACAAATTATAAAATGGTACTGGGGCCGGTGAGATAGCTCAGTGGACTGAAGTAACTGCTTAGGCAAAGCATGGAGACAGAGCTTCCATCCAGGCACCACATGCTCACCACCCCACCCTGCAGGGTGGGCTGAGTCTGCCAGAGCCCGGATGTGGTGGCTCACACTGTATGTAATCCCAGCGCTGGGGAGGCTGAAAGCAGGAGGATAACTCCAACACTGATCTGTAGACCCTGTACTAAACATGTTTAAAAAAAAAAAAGTTGCTAGAATGAAGAAAGAGATCACCTACAACGGAAAGCCCATCAGAATCAAGGCAGATTTCCCAATACAAACCATCAAATAAAGAAGAGCTTGGAGTGAAGTATTTCATATTTCAGGTCCTGAAAGAAAATAACTTCTAACTCTGAGTGATGTACCTGCAAAATAAGATCCTTTCTTGACAACAGTTGAAGAAATTCATAGCCACCAAACCAAACCTACAAAGAGTACTTAGAGATATTCTAAAAAGAGACAAAAGTGATCACAGCTTCAAGAACAATGCAAAGGATCCACCAGAGTAATTAAAAAGTGAGAAAGCAGGGAATCTGCAACAGGAAAATTACATAACAAAGATAAACCAATACATTATCAGTTATAACCAACAATAAAAACAGCCTCAACGCATCAATGAGAAGAAACAGACCGGCACAGTGGATTAAGAAACAAAAATCCAAGAATACAAGAAACACATTTAAATCTTCTGGAGGAAAATGTAAGTAGATCTTAAAGATATAGGGGTAGTAGGTACAGTTCATGAATAAAAACCAAACTGCACGGAAAATAGTTCAAAGAATCAACTGGGATCTCATCTTTTTGAAAAGTTTCTACACTTCAAAGCAAATCTCCAACAGAGGAAAAAAAAAAAAAATGCACAAAATGGGAAAAAATTACAGCTGTCTGTCCCTCTGACAAAGGTCTTCTATCTAGAATATATAAAGAATTAAAATAAAATCAGGCTCCCAAGTTCAAAGACCCAGGACCAGCCAAATACAAATAGCTCAGCGGATTAAAAGCCAGGGGTTCGATCCCTGGGCCTGCTGTGCTAGCCCCACCCCGGCGCGCACCGAGACAGTAAATTGAGACTGGGCATAGTAGCCCGCGCCTGTAATCCCAGATCTTGGGAGGCTGTAAACAGGAGGATCACTACAAGTCTGATCTAGTAGTGAAATGCTGAACACCCTATAGACCCATTCCCTAAAATAAAAATAAGTAAATAAATTCAAAGACCCAATCAAAAAATTGGCATCCGAGAATATACACTTCTCTCCAGAAGAAATACAAATGGCAATATATGAAAAATGTTCAATATCATTGGTCATTTGAGAAATGCAAATTAAAACAGATTGCATCTCACCCAGAAAAAATGGCTAACATCAAGATGTCAGCCAGTAACAAATGCTGGAGTGACTGTGCTGGCAAGATAGCTCAGCAGGCTAAAGCGACTACTTAGGCTAAAACTTAGGCTAGCACAGGGACCACAGTTCAATCCCCAGCATCACATGCTGTGCCAATCCCACCCCCAGGGTCCAGAAGTAGCATAAGCCTTGAGTCCCAGCACTCAGGAGGCTGAAAGTAGGAGGATCACTATGAGTCCAAGCTGCGTAGTGAGACCCTGAAACAAAATAAATTTTTTTTAAAAAATGCTGGAGGGACTGTGGAGAAAAAGGAACCCTTGTACACAGTTGGTGGGAGTGAAGACTGGTACAACTACTATGGAAATCAGTGTGGAGATTTCTTAAAAAGCTATGACTAGAGAACCCATTCAAGCCAGCTAGTTCTCTCCTGGTATTTTTCTAGAAGGACTGAAAACCTCCTATCACAGTGATATACATGCACCCATGTTCCTAACAGTGCAATTTGTCATAGCTAAGTCCTGAAACGCTCATCAACTGAAAAATGGATAAAGACATAGTATTTTTACATAATGGAGTATTATTCATCTATAGAATGGGATAAATTTGAGTCTTTTGTCAGTAAATGGATCTAACCAGAGAACATACTCTTAAGTGAAATAGATCAGATTTGCATATGCAATCATTATACTGTCTCACCTTAGTGTGAGAACCTGAAAAGAGAAAAATGGAATCTGAATGGTATAGCAGATACTAGGAAAAGGGGATGAACTTATTCAAAAGGAAACAGTGACTAAGTTGAGAAGAACAGGAGAGGGAGTAGGGGAAAGAGATTTCTCTGTGTATGTAAGCAGGATGGTTTGGACAACGGGTATTGTGCATTTCTGCTGGTCTAAGGAAAACAGTCAATGCATTAGTTCATTTCATCTCCTTTTTTCAATTGTACATTTTTCCTTCTAAATTTCTTTCATATCTCTTTTATTTGTTTCTTTCAATTTGTCATGCACTTATCTGGTAATATGAATTAACTGGATGGAAGATAACACTACGTATTACAACAAATACTGTGAAATTCATATTACTTTGTTAACTGAAATTCTGTATCACTTGTAAATTTAATTATAATTTGTACTCTCTTTAAAAAAAAAAAAAAAAAGGCATATTCCTCTACTTAGAATGTTTTAAACACAAGAGTTTTAACAGGCCAAACTCACCAAAAAGGTCTTATCTTCCAAAGTTGACATTATCTTAGAAGAAAGTTCTTCACAACACAAATTCTCCTCTGCAGTTGCCACCAAAGCAGCACAGCGAGCAAATATTCTGTATAATTCTGACCATGTTCTAAGTAAAGCCTTCATGGTCACCTAGTAATAAAAAAATTATATATACCTGTGTATCAGAAACCCAGTAGAATGAACCTATCTTTAGATTTTAAAAAGTATAACATTGAACACATTAGAGAAGCGTCTAGCATAGTGCAATAGACTTACCCAATCTTCCTCAGAAAGTTAAAACTTTTCTGAGTAAAGTTTTAACTTTACTCAGAAAGTAAAAAGGAATTGTTTTCACTATTTAACTTTCATCTATGCCAATGATTAAGTCATACTAAAGTTTTTTTTTAATATTTATTTTTATTTATTACATTTATTTATTGTGTGTGTGTGGCCAGCTTAGCCCACCAGGGGGCGGGGCTGGCTGGCATGTGGTGCTGGGGCATCGAACCGCAGTCCCTGTGCTTTGCCAAGCTTGTTTCAAGTAAGTGCTTTAGACCACTGAGCCATCTCTCCAGCCCAATACTAAAGTTTTATTTAGGGAACAATTACTACTTGCTGCTAAAGGTTGAAACGACAGAATTTCTGGCAAAGTATAAATTCCTCATACATAAAAACTTGATATGGTCTTACCACAGGAAAGATCTGTGCTGAAAAAATATGATTTATTGGTAAAGTCAATGCACTGTAGATGGCATTAAAATTATGTTCCAAGGCATCACCTTGATTTACTTCATTGGTCTGAAATTAAAAAAAAAATTACCATAAATCTGATTTTACAGACTAACATAACTTATCTCTATGTAACATGCAGAATTATGTTTCACAAATCATAGCGGATTCCCAGATAACCAAACTCACACCCCCTGATCCCTAGGGAATTTATGTGACCTTACCTGGAGACATATACTTTTTTTTTTTTCTTTCTCTTAAAGAGACTGAACACAGAATATTCACACTAACTCCACTTCCATCCCATCCCTTTTTTGGGGAGACATGGACTTACTAAATTGCCCAGGTTAGATTCAGACTTGCAACTGTTTCAGGTACTCAGAATATTCTAACTGCTGGCATGCACCACTAATATTTAGCTAAAATCTTTACAAATTTAGAAAATTAAGAGGTCATAGTACACAAAGGTGGGCCAGTGAATGGTATCCTTTTCATAGAAGAAAAATAAAGGCACAGAGAAGACACAAGGAGGAATACCCTCTTAAATACAGGCAGAGATTAGAGTGACACACCTGAAAACTGAGAAAGTCAAGAGCCAGATGTAGTAATGCACATCTGTAAATCCAGCACTCTGTGAGGAAGGAGATTAACAAATTCAAGCTCAACTCTGGTAATCTAGCACAGTGGTGGCAAACCTATGTCAGTGTGCTGCAGCAGGGCACGCAGGATCCCCTTTGTCACCATTCAAGCTAAGAAGTACCAGCCACTGAGCATCAAATTTCAAGTTTAACTGCAGAGTTGGCACTTTACCATAAATAAGTGGGTTCTGGGTTGGAATCTGGGTACTCGATCTCTAAAAATTTGCCATCACTTACTTGATGAGATTCAAATTAAAAAAACAAAACCGTAAAATATACTTCAGTGTGAAGGCCCTATTCAATCCCCAGTACCACCAAAACCAAAGAACAAAAGGAGGTGGGGATGTTTAAGAAAGATTAAAAGCTGGGGACATAGCTCAGTGGGGTAAGCACCTGCCTGGCAAGTGCAAGATCCTGAGTTCAATTCCTGGTACCTAAATAAATAAAGATTAAGACAGTTTTGGGGGGCCTGAAGGTATATAACTGTAATCCCAACACCTGGGAGGCTAAAGCAGAGAGGGATACCAACTTATACACCAGCCTGCACTACAGATCAGGATTCCATCCCAGAAAGGTCAGAAGCGGCTTTGCCAACAATGATCAAAGATGAGGGCCAGCCAAATAGCTCAGTGGATTAAAGTACCTGCTTAAGCAGATGCAGGGGCTGCAAGTTTGAGCCCGGGGCCTGCCGCAGCACACTGACACAGCAACTGAGACTGACAGACTGGGAGTGGTGGCAAGCGCCAATACTTGGGAGGCTATAAACAGGAGGACCAGTGCACAGGAGATCACTACAAGTTCGATCTACACAGTGAGACCCTGTACAACCTGTCCTAAATACAAAAAAAAAAAAAAAAAGATCTTTCAAAGATGAATGCAGATTCTTCCTCAGAGTTCAGAAGGAAACAATCCTACCTAATACCTTTATTTCTGGCCTTCAGAACCAGGACAATTCATGTTGTTAGGGCTGTGGGTAGAACTGTTGTACAGCACCTTGCTCCATCTTTTAGCACCAACAAATTAAAAACATGTAAGTTACACATTTTAATTACTACCTTGTAATTAAAATACTTGTTCCCAAAAACCAGAGAACTACTGCATGAAATTTAAATCCTAAAATACAACCTCAGAATCAACTCCTAAAATCTTATACATTCAAGCAAACACTTGTAAAGGTCTTTGCTCTTCAAATAGTGGGACTCTTTCAGCAATGTAAAATGTTTTAATTCCAGAAAAATATGAATAGTACGTGCTAGTCTGAATAGCCTATCACTATAATGGAAAAGTTGTGGGCTCGAATGCAACTCAGTGATAGTGAGTTTGCCTAGCATTGCAAAATGCTGGGTGCAGTCCCAAGCAATGCAGAGTGCAGACATGCGACCAAAGTGGAGTCTTAATCTCTTGTCCAGTTACAATGGAATCAGCTCCAAGAATCGTTCCATAATAGAGAATTTGTTTTTCATGTTCCATCAATATTGACATCTTTTTAAAAGTAAAGGTGAAATAGTCAACTCTTGACAAATTCTTTTTTTTTTTTTTTTTTAATTTATTACATTTATTTATTTTGTGTGTCTGTGGCCAGCTCAGCCCACCAGGGGGCAGGTCTGGCTGGCATGTGGTGCTGGGGATCGAACCGCGGTCCCTGTGCTTTGCCAAGCTTGTTTCAAGTAGGTGCTTTAGACCACTGAGCCATCTCTCCAGCCCCAGTCTTGACAAATTCTTGACCTATGGTGATACTAAATGTTTTTAAGGTGTGATGACATAATAATAATATATAGCCTATTCAAGGTGATCCCCTATTGGTACAACTACTGAAATGACTAAAATATAAAAGTTTGTATGCATCATGTGTATTCTCTACAATCTCTACCGAAGAAACTGGAACTTTGTAATCCCTATTATCTTTAATAAATGAAGTGGAAATGCAATGAAATAAAAATGCAATAACATCAAGCCAAACAGCAGAAAATGTACCAATTCCAAAAAAAAAAATTATTTCTATTCAGACTTCTATTCATTTTCTCAACTGCCCTAATAAGGAAATAGAAGATATTTTACAAATCTAATAGGAAATTATGCAGCACACATATCATACCTGATTAATCAATTCAGTCAATGGAGTGACTATGATGCTCCACATTCTGGACAGATGCTCTTTATTTTCCAATTGCATTACATTTTGATTAATAACATTTAAAACAGAATCACTAAAACCGAGGGGTGAAGTTGGACCAGAAAGCACACAGCCTACAAGTGATTCCAGATTGAGAAAAAACCTGAAGAAAAAATTAGAACCTATGTAAACACTTTGTACAAAAAATACATCTACTACACATTAACAAACATTCCAAGTTTTTTTAATTTTAAGAAAACTTGATGAACTACTACATAAAAAGAAACAATCCAACACAGATAACAAAGCATCTAATGATTTAAAGTTAAAACTTACCTTTCATCAGCTATACCACATTCCTGGATATAACTGTTGAAAATTAACTGAATTAAGAACAAAGCTGGAGTCCCCTAAAAAAAAAAAAAAAAAAAAAAGTCAATCTTCTGGGTTACAACCTATTATTTAAAAAGAAATACCATTTTGGCATGAAATTTTGGCCTCAGGATTACTCTAGATATGACAAAAGCAAGTTTTCCAGAGACTATACAGAAATCAGTATCATCAAACAACAGCTAAGTAAGATGTAAAGAACAAATATGGTGCAAGTAAATATATATGAAAGTATTAACCTAAAACTTGTTAGAACTATAATATCTACAAGATACACAACAAAAATACATTTCACATTAGGATCCTAAACTTTCAAAATTTTAAACAATAAAACTGGGCATGGTGGTACAGGCCTATAATCCCAACACTTCAGAGACTAAGGCAGGGTGATCAGCAGCTCCAGGCCCATCCTGTGAGAACAGATATAGATACAGATATATATGTATGTGTGTGTGTGTGTATGTATGTGCGCGCACACGTGCGTATGTATACACACACACAGTTCAAGGCCAGCCTGGACCACAGAGCGAGACCCTGTCTTTAAAAAAAAAATAATCAAAAATAAAACAAATAAAATATAAATAAAAACAATGAATAGGGGCATGGTAGTACACACCTATAACCCCACTACTTGGGAAACACAAGTAGGAGACCACTGTAAGTTCAATACCTGTTCCCCACTCCCAAAAAAACTCACCACTACCAACTGTAACAGCAAACAATACTATTATTATGTATTTTTTTTTAAAAAAAAGGGGGGGGGCTGGTGAGATGGCTCAGCGATCTAAAACACCTACTTGGAACAAGCTTAGCAAAGCACAGGGAACAGGGTTCAATCCCCCAGCACCACATGCCTGCCAGCCCCGCCCCCTGGTGGGCTGAGCTGGCCACACACACACACACACACACACACATTCAAAAAAAAAAAAACTTTCCAGGGGCCTGCCCCTTAGCCCAGTTCTTTAAGAAGGTGTTTCAACAAAGCAGTCAGGCTCAGGTTGTGGTTTGATCCCCACAACTCAAGCCAGCCAAACCTGCCCCTGAAGGCATTCGGAACAAAAAATAAATAAAAATTTTAAAAAATTAAAAAAATAAAACTTTCCTCTGGGGTCCATTCTTAGCATTGTATGTAATTCTTTACACTAGTCTATCGCTGCATATTTTTCATTAATTTAGTACACATATAACCTAAAAATTTTACAACTAAGTGGTGTGTTTAAGAAAGAAAAAGTGGGGCTAGGGAGATGGCTCCGTGGAATAAGCGCTTCCCTGGCAAGCGCAAGGGCCTGAGTTCAATCCCTGGTTCCACAAAAAGAAAAAAAAAAAAAAAAAAGAAAGAAAAAAGTATCATAGAACTTTTTCTTAGTCAATCTTTATCATATTATATTTAATCTTTATCATATTACATTTAAGATACTTGCATTAAGAATATCCATATTAGCAACCTGATATGCTGGTGAACCTAATACTTTCTGAGGAAGTCCTTTAATTGTAATTTCCATAAGGACCTAAAAAAGAAAAGGTTACAAAAATGTTAAAGCAGTAGTAAGTCTAGTAGAGTTAATTACACTTTTATAATTTAATTACACTAAAATTAAAGATTAGAGGTAACAGTTAATGTATTAGTATTTATACCTTCTCATTTATTTTAAAAGTATAGAAATATAGGACCAGCCGGATAGCTCAGCAGCTTAAAGCACCTGCCTAGGCAGACGCAGACTGGGGGCTGGCTCTCCAGCGTGCCATGCTGGCCCTGCCTCCAGGGTATGCTGAAGCCAATTGTACAACTGAGACTGGACATGGTGGGCTGCTGAAAACTACGAGTCTGGATCTGTGTAGTGAGATCCTGTAGATGCTCTACTAAACACATTTTAAAAAGTATAGAAATCTAGGAAGTAGTGATAAAGTCCTTTAGCTCTAGGGTTAATTAATGCTTTCAGTTTGGAGTCATATTTTCATAGACCTAAACTGGGAATGTGTGAGTATAGACATCCATCTATATACACAGTGCTATGAGCGTCCACAATTTGTTTATTCAACTACTTTTCTAAAAAATGAACAACACAATTTCTTTTTTTTTTAATATTGTACTTATTTATTTATTTTTGTGGTACCAGGGCTTAACTCAGGACCTTGTACTTGCCAGGCAAGTGCTTATTCTACCGAGCTGTATCCCCGGCCCCACAATTTCTTTTATACTGCTAGAAGTTCTGCAATGAATTACATATTCAACAGTGCCAGAAGTAACTACTGTATAGTCCTAGCTCATCTGTCAATTCTTTCCAAAGTTGAGTTCAAAAAATTTGAGGATTGAACATATTTTCCCCTAATAAAGTAAAACCAAGTAACTGATTCTGAGGCCCAAAAATTACACTTGTGATTTCATTTTTCTAGGACTAATAATTTTGCAGTGATTACTATCTTTAACTCTATTGTGGTTCTCAGTTTTCTTCTTAGCTATACTGCTAGTATCACTTAACTTTCTTTGGAGCCATGGCTACCATAATTTATCCAACTAAAGTGCAAAATAAGAAAACCACTGATGGGGCCGGGGAGATGGCTCAGTAGAATAAGTGCTTCCCTGGCAAGTGCAAGGACCTGAGTTCAATCCCCGGTTCCACAAAAAAAAAAAAAAAAAGAAAAGAAAAGAAAAACGAAAAGCACTGATGCTTTAATGCACTAACCCAAACACTGTATCTTCTCTGGGTGAAAGCAGCACTTATGACCCGCTGAGACTGTGCACATTTTTTTTTTCAAGTTGGATTTTCATTTTGACTATTAAGCAAAGTTAAAAAGCATCAAGCACGTGTTTTTTTTTCAGCTTTGCTTTTCGAGTAGTGAATCATTCATACTTGGACCCATCTGACAACCAGAGGTATCACTATACTAACTGAAAGCCTAGAGGCTCCACTGAGGCTAAGATGGCCAACTTAGATCTGAACAGGCTTATCCAACTGCTATTCAAAATTCCTCATACAGTTACATTAATATAAATATGAAACTTGCATGGCATGAACAATGTGAATAGTTATATTAGTGAAACAACTTTCCAAGTGAGTCTCATCTGCCCCCATGAGCTGATACACTGCTCAAATTCACTGTCAATAAAAAATTGGAGGGAAATTCAATCTCATCTAGAGTCTTTGCTATTAACCTCTATTCTCACTATTCTATCCAACCACAATGAATTTAACTGTTACAGTACATAAAGCAAAGATTTAAGAAGGAATTTAAGGTTATCATTCCATATGTACCTCCTCGGGCTATTATAAAATTACATTCCATTTGTTTTCCTCCTCTACTATGCAAGGTCAAAAATACCAGAGGGCCTGGGAGATAGCTCAGCAGCAGAAGCACCTGCATGGCAAGTACAAGGTCCCAAGTTCGATTCCCAGTACCAAAAAAAAGAAAAATACCAAAGCCATTATCCTGGTTAAAGAAGCAATGTGCTAATAACATTAACATTGCTCAACAATCATAATAAATTAGTGGATATTTGAGTTTCTCCGGTTAAAATGTCCTTTAGCCCATTTTCTGAGTATAGCTAATTTTGTAAAATCCTAAGATATTTTGCAGTTCTAGTCACTTATTAAGAGGCTTTAAGTGACTCTAAAGTCAATACAATGACATTTATTACACAAATAAATTGCTAACAAGTATTTGATATAAAAGTCTGTCCAACTCGGGTATAGTGGCACATACCTGTAATCCCAGCACTCAGGAGGCTGAGGCAAGGGGATCCTTGCAAGTTCAAGACCAGCTTGGGCTACAAAGTGAGTGCAAGGTCAGCCTGAACTGCACAAAACCCTGTCTCAGAAAACACAAGGTCCTGAGTTTGATTCCCTGTGCACATACACAAGGTCTGCCCAAAATATGACCTCTATAAAGTAGCAAAGTTTTGAAGTTCAATTTGTAGAAATTCTTACCAGTGTTTTTGGTACAGGAAATACTTCGGATTTCACTATGCTTTCTAAAGATTTTAGTAGGAGAGTCAATACTTCACAACCTGGTCTCTCTTTTTTGTTACCTGTCAAAAAGCAAAAGGGTATATAATCCTAATCACATATTTTCAGAAGCAAATGTATTCAAAGTCAAAATAATTAACTTATTACTAATCATAACTTTTTACTCCAGTTAAATCAACAGTATTTAAAGCAGATTACTTTATAAGCTAGACCCTACATAACTTCAAAAGTTAAACAATTCACTGGTACTATAAAAATTATCTAATCAGGGTAACAGTGCTCACCGGATTCAGTAAGTGAATTCACTAAGCTGATTAGCTCCTTCCAGATAGCACTGACAATTGCATCTGTCAAAAAAAGTAAGACTTTTATTGAGGTACAAGATTAGACTTTCCCTTTCTTATACTACATAATAAACTGCTATATTTGGTAATTTGCAAAATTTCCTTGTTAATATTGATTTCACTAATAATTTATATATAAAATGAACTTTAAAAATTTTAAACAGGTTTTGTAATACTTACAACATGTTACTACGTCCTATGACAAAAAACAATTTAATCTTCCCATCTGTATTTTCTGCAGTTTACCCATCATTTACTTTTATGAAAAACAAAATTTAGACAGAAACTTCACAAGAGATATGATTCATTTTCTCACCAGTAAGAGAGTACTTGATTTTTGAACTTTCTTTTCCTTATTATTTAAGAAGTCATAAACACAAGGGTTTAAATGCACATGCTGGAGGGGAACCAACCAGATGGGGCCTTAATTATAACTGCACCATTTACTATGTGACATACAAGTATTTACTTCTCTATACAAGTCAGTTTCTCTTTAAACTGGACTATGCTATGCAACCGCACTGCCACTGAGCTCTATCAGTAAGTCAAACAGTTGATATTTTATTTTTTATCTTTTTTTATTTTTTTATTTTTAATCTTGTTTTTGAGACATGGTCTTGCATGTAGTATAGACCCACCATGAACTTGCTTATGAAGCCCAGGCCGGCCTTGAACTTGAAAAGATCCTCATGCTTCAGTCACCCAAACACTGACTTACATTTGTGTGCCACCAGGCTCTTACTCTTATCTTTCATAAATTACAGATTCCAATAGATAAAAAAAAAACTGTTCAACATTTACCAGAAGCATCTCTCCCAACTGCAATAAAGCTGTCATGAACAGCAGTGATGAGTGTATGTGCATGTTTGGAAAAAAAAGAAGGACTGCTGATTAATGGATGTTCAAGTGGTTCTGAAAGGAGAATACAAGAAAATTATGTAAAACACAAGGGTAAAGCAAATTCCTCAATATAAAATTTTTGATAATCTAAATAAATGTATTAATAAAATATACTTATTCAATATACAATAAAATGACTAGGCTGTGGGGAAAAAAGATCTCACCTCACAACAGAACACTAAAGTAGACTGTTTCAATAAATAAATTTTAAATACCTAAGCTCAATACAAGCTTGTGTTGCTTAGCAAAATTCAAGACTTCTGGACCCAACAAAAAATGAAGCAGCATTTCAAGTCCCAAAAGTTGAATGGAAGGGATTGTTGCCATTCCACCTAAATTTGGACTCATGTTCATTCGTGAAGTTACAGGAATTCCATATGGGGAAGCACCTTTAAAAAAAGTAAACAAGGTCAAATTAAACCACTAAGTTTTTATCAGTTACTAGCTACCTAAGTACATGTATTTAGCCTACTTCATTTCAGGAAAATGCATCTTTAAAAAACAATTTAAAAACCAAGGATTGGGCTGGTGAGATGGCTCAGTGGTCTAAAGCACCTACTTAGAACAAGCAAAGCTAAGCAAAGCACAGGGACTGCTGTTCAATCCCCCAGCACCACATGCCAGCCAGCCCCGCCCCCTGGTGGGCTGAGCTGGCCACACACACACACACACAAGATAAATAAATAAATAAACAAATTAAAAAAAAAAAAACAAGGATTAATCTAGGCCTTGAAATTATGAATACACAGGTCTTTCTGAACTTAAAGAATGAGAATAGTAATAATAATTAACTTTCAATAGTGAACCATACTCAACCACACTTCTTTTACTTTTAAGCCTTGTTTACACTGGTAAGAAAACATTCACCCTTTCCAACTATAAAACACTAAAACTAAGGGTGGTTAAGTAATTTTTGTAATCTCAAGACACTAAGAAAGATGAAGAGGGCCGGGGAGATGGCTCAGTAGAGTAAGTGCTTACATGGCAAGCACAAGGGCCTGAATTCAATCCCTGGTTCTGCGG